CAGTTGTTCAAAACCTTCAATTTTCAGACATCTTGAATTTCTAGGCTGATGTGATTCATCGGTGCTGCAACCTTCAATTTTGATGGCTTGCTCACAAGCGTATCTTACTTTAGCATCACCACTTGCTAACAAGTCACATTAGTAGTATTTTTAGGTGAGCCATTAGACTTAGCATCACTCACACAAGTTTCAACATCTAATATCTTAACTTCATTACAATCAACTTCAAGAGATTAGATTCTAGAGGAACAATATCCAAGCTCCACTTGATTAGCTTTTAAAGTTTCACACATAGTTTGCCTTCTTGGAAAAGAATATGTTTATTAGAATTAGCCACAAGAAAAATAACTTGTGCCAATTTGTTACATAAAAAGGTAAATTACAATGCTTTCACCAAAAGTGCAAGTAAGACCAGAATGCATAATTCCTCTATAAACACAATACTCATGCACAAGTTCATCGAGAGTGGCAATATCCAACCTCATCTAACACAATTCATTCTGCATAAGAAAATGTATAAATAAATTCTCAATAACCTAAAAGGGATAAATTGAGGTGAATTAATTGACTGGGCATACCATAGATATAGCAATGGTGATTAAGTTTCTCTGAGACCATAATGGTGATTACTGACTAGGCTTCATACATACTCTCTAGAGGTGTTCCCTTCCATTTCTGTTGGATCACTGGCAATTGGCGTTGTTTTGATCCTATTGTAGCTGCTTTGGAGAAATAGAGGTCGTGAAAGGTTCAGCAAATTGGGATGACTAAGTGTTAAAATCTATAGAATTTGGAGAAATGAGGTCAAGGAAAGACGGTTGACATGGTTTCACCAAATTGGGATGACTAAGTGTTGGAATCTATACAATTTGGAGAAATGGAGGGGAAGGCCAATTGACATAGTTTCATCAAACTGGGATGGGTAAGTGTCAGAATCTATAGAACTTGGAGGGATAGAATTGGTTCTCAAGCAATAGCCACAGATAAAGAATTTTGAAGGAGCTAGACGATAACTGAGATAAGCTAGAAGTAAGGATAAGTTTTAATGCTATAGAAATCTATTTAAATCCTATTATATTTTTTGAACCGAATGGTGTAGTTGAAGGTATTGGTCTGCAAGGTAAGCATATCATTTTTCTAAACATAACTCTAAAGTTATTTGAAATTTCTACCATTGTAATTTTTTTGGTTTATTGAGGATATTAGCAATGTTTATTTTTTTTTGAGCCCATATAAAGTATTTAAATATCCTAAATAACACTCATTAAAAATATTTTAATATTTTATAACCTAAATTATACTAAAAAATTAGAAAAACGTGTTTTTAAATAGGGATTTTTTTTTTTTTGTGGTTTAGACACTAAAATTAATAAAATATTATTAATTAATAAATATAAAAGACAATTTTATTTAATGTATTTTAATAATTTTATTATCTAAACTATATAAAAAATACAATTCATACTAAAAAAATGTTTTCTAAAAAATGAACTAAAAAACACAACTCTCTTAAGATATTAATCCAAAAATACTTTTTAAAATTAAAAAAATTATTCATGCCAACGATGTTGTCCAAATTCACGGTCTGTTTAGCGGGACCCTAATAAAAAAATCCAGTATACCTAATCTTAAGCCACGTGTCCATGTGCAGAAAAGCAGCAAAGAAGGAAGAACCCAGATCTCCCTGAAACCCCTTTGACACAACACAAGTCAAAGTTACACCGATCCGACGGCTGAACGCTCACTCCTCTTTCCATCACCCCCCCAATTAATAAAAACCCCAAACCCCAAACCTCAAACCCCGTCCTCATCCAGGGGCGCCAAAATCCCTTAAAAATTTTCCGAAACACCAAACACCCACAACAAAAACCTCTATCGGAAAATTTTAGAGCTAAATCCAAAAGATTGAAAGTTGTACTCGTGAAATCCCGTCGTCAAGCTGCTGGTCACTCTGTATACTTCGATTTCGAATAGGAAGAAATGGAAGGCATGGACCTGCAGAATACTGTCAAAGAAGCCCTAAACGCACTGTATCATCACCCCGACGATGCTGTCCGTATGCAAGCCGATCGGTGGCTGCAAGATTTCCAGCGCACTCTCGACGCTTGGCAGGTACCTTTGGATTCATGTTCTTTTTGTTATTTAAATGTTTTAGTTGAAGCATGTATTGGAGTTGTTTGGTTGATTTCGTAAAGATATGGATAAAAAAGATTCACATTTTATCCGAAAAAGAGGTGTTTGGTTGACAAGAAAGTTGTTGCGAATTACGGTTGAATTGAAGGCTGGACTGTTGTATTTTTATAGATTTTTTTCCTTTAATTTGGGTTGTATTTATTCTGGTTAATTAATCTTTTTAATTTTTTAAATTTATTTTTTATTCAGGTCGCTGATAATTTGCTTCATGATCCAACTAGCAATCTAGAAACTTTAATCTTTTGTTCACAGACTCTTCGAAGCAAGGTAACTTTGTTTTGTTTTTATTTGGTCAGTGGTCAAAATCAAAGTCTTGTTTACTATGGGAGTAGTTTATTTGATTTATAGGTGCAAAGGGATTTTGAAGAATTGCCATCGGAAGCCTTTCGCCAATTAAGGGACTCCTTGAATGTGAGTAGGTTTATGATTTAACATCACATCATGTTGATTATAATTGAAACTGGCTTGTAGAAAGATAACTTGCTTCAGATTACCCTTTAGCTTCTCAAGCTCTCTACTTTGGTCATTCCAAAGTTTGGCACAAATATAGGTCAAATCAATATGCTAAACTGAGTACGTTTAGAACAAAACTCCTATAGAAAATCTTTTTTACCAAAAAGGGAAAAAAAGAGGCTTTTGGATGGTGGATACTATTGCCATCACAAGGGAGTCTTTTGATGTGGTTTTTGTCTTGACAATTTTAGCTTTAAGAAGTTCCTTTTTTTGGCTTGAATGTGCATGTGCGGCATGTGTGTGCTTTCAAGAAGTATAGCTGTGTTCCTTGTTGAAAAAGTTTTGTTCTGTTAAGAATCTACCTGATAGCATAGAATATATGAATGCAATCATCTAAGCAGCACTTATTTTTGCTGGAGATTTTGGTGTCTAAGGCAAATTTGAAGACATGTTTATGCAGGGGGGAAATTTGCTTTTTGGTTTTCTATTACAAAAGTTTGTGTGAGGCAGACCTTTTAATACGTTCTCTCACTCTGTTTTCTTTTTCTTCTCTTTTTGGTTCATAAATGTGGACATTTTCTTTTCATGTTCTCTTATCTGTTTTGTTAAGTGTGCTTAGCATTTATAATTATTTATGCTTTATAATTTTTTCTCTTTCAAAAATGTGTACACATGCAAACATGCACGTGCTGAAGATAATAACCAAGTGTTTCATATTCTACATAGCAATTTGATGCCACTGATATTTGAAATGCAGACGTTATTGAAAAAGTTTAATAAAGGCCCCCCTAAAGTCAGGACTCAGGTACTAAATGAAAAGCCTTTCCACATGGCATTGTGCAGCACAATCCCTTTTTTTATTTCCCACTTCAAGAATATATGTGTTCATTCATTATGCTATGTAGATTAGCATTGCAGTTGCTGCTTTGGCTGTGCATGTTCCTGCAGAAGATTGGGGTGATGGTGGCATTATGAATTGGCTCAGAGATGAGATGAATTCTCATCCAGATTATATACCTGGATTTTTAGAGCTTCTTACTGTATTGCCTGAGGTATGGATAAATTACTTGTCAGAGATAGACTCTAAGCTTGTTCTTTTCTTTTCCCCTATCTTTCACTTTTTAGCTTTTAGAGAGTAGAGAATTTTTGGTGGTAAAATCATAGCAATTGGGTGAATAGCTGGCTACTTCACTAGGAATGCACTTTTCTTAAATCAGGAAACCATTGTCTTTGTTGAAAATTGCCTTAGTGCCCTAGTTAACGTGAGAACTTCATACTTTCATTACAGCATGATGATATGGTGCATGTTTATTAGTGATTTGTAGATGGTCATGATAAGGACATATGTAAGACATATGTTACAAGCAATCAGGTTATGTCTAGCTTAGTGACCATTTCTTTTGCATTCCTTTTTCATTTTTTGTTTACAAACAGGAAGCATACAACTACAAGATAGCAGCACGTCCAGAACGACGGCGTCAATTTGAAAAGGAGCTTACTGCACAAATGGAAATTGCTCTTAATATATTAACTGCTTGTGTAAATATCAATGATCTGAAGGAGCAGGTGGAAGCTTTCCTATTTTATTACTTCTTTCTAGTTTTACATGGTGTTCATTGTAATTATTATAGGAAGTTGCTTGAATGGGTCTATTTGGTTGCCAAGTCTGCATGTGAAACCTTCTGAGATGGCATAATGTATTTACTTCTAAGTTTTGAATTTCAAATTTTGTTTCCATTTCTCATTTAAATCAATCTTTATATTGATTTCATTTCAAACCTTGCATGTGTATAAATATTGTTTCATTTGCATGATGGCCATGCATAGGAATTTTTTGAGCTGCCAATGAAACAAGCCAAACTTGGAACTTGGTTGTTTAAAGGAATGAACTGAATACATTTTAATAGCTGTTCTTTTAGCTAAGCCTCTGGAGTCATTAACATTAATTATAGATCCTATACTATACCTTATTTGGTGTCTGTTTATTTTCTTGTGTTCTGCTCATTGAAAGGCAATGTGGTGGCTCTTTATCATCAAACTTCCTTGAGCCCACTAGTAAAACCCTTTT